ATATTTCTCAAGAAACACGCGATGCAGTGCGCCAGGCATTCGTGAGCGCCTCAATTGAAAGGCTGTTCAGCGCGGCGGCAGACATCTTCACTTAGGAACGAGGCAAAACGTCCGACGAGACTTCCGAGAGCCAGCTGTTGCTCAAGGTCACAAAAGTGTTTTGTGTATTATCCTAGGATAGTAATGTAGAAGTTTTACGGATTACTTTTTGTGGTAACGGTCACTTTTATGAAAGGGTACTTGTAACCGTAATTAGTTACTATTTAGCCTTTTCTAATTGTAAACGTAGTTCCTTACCCCCCCCCCCCTTTTTTTTTTTTTTTAGTGCGTGCACAAGTCTGGTTTCGACCTTCCTCAAGGTCGCCGGAAGATTAATGTTCTCGCTACGCACCACAACGCGCGTTTGAACGACTGACGCATTCACTGCCCCCGAAAAAAAAAAAAAAATATTACGAGAAGCCGGTGAGAGCGCCCTATAGAGAGAGAAAGAAATTTCCCACAACGTTCGGTCGCAGACGAATACAAACGTCACGCCCTCCCCCGCGTCCAATCTCGGCATAAGCTGGAGGAATACCACAAGCCCGACCACCCCTTCTTGTTTTGGATAGCATGCGCCGAGCCCCTTTCCCTCGCGCAGCGCCGCCGTCGTCGTCGTGTTGTTGCCCGCGTACAAAAGCCACCGGCGGTCCCGCGGCGGCGCCCCCGAACGGCAACCACGACACCCGACACCGGCGACGCGGAGGGAATGATCCCCGTGCGATCCGCGACGCGTAAACAAGTTTCAATGCCAGCAGCGCCAGTAGCTGCAGCCGCCCGAACACGCCAGCGCGCTCTCGCTAATGACCCGCGCCCTCGCCGGCGCAGCACGTCCTGAACGACGTCCACCACAGACCACGGTACCGGCGGCGGCCGGTCAGCCGAGGCAACAAGAAAGCGTGCCCGTCGCGCGGCCCCGCCGGCTTCGCAACACTTCCCCCGAAGAAGCTGACAGTGCGCTGGATGCTACGGGCAGGCTGAACCAATCACCTGTGGGCTAGAAGGCACGTGACCGCGCATGCATGCCGCTTCGAAATGCCGCAGGTCCACGCACCTTTTAGCGAGTGGGAAACGTTTTAAGCTTCGGTCCGAGCGCGGCCGATGTTACGAGCCGAAGGACCGACCACACAGCGAAAGAGGCACAACGTCATGGCGTGCTCATTCCACACCATCAAGATTGCCGGTCTTAGCAGCCTATTAATGTGAGCTCGTTCTGAGCATGCGCTCTAAAGAGCGCCTTCAAATATGGCGTCCAGTGAATACCGCCTATACTTTTAAGTCAACGTTTTTGTGCTACGTACGCAAGGCTAGAGCAGTTTCGCAACGCTGTCACGGATACTGATGCGAGCGAATGAGACGCCACGTGTTCGTGCAGCATGCAGTGCGGTTCTGCAGCACTGTGGAAACTAATTGGAACAGAGCCCTCGCGAACAAATGATGAACCAGAGGAGCGGGGACGGCTGGCCGGACGGCGGCGGCGGGAGTCCGGCTGTTACCGCATGGTTCTGATCGTCGTGTTCCTGCATGGTGCAATGTTATGCGGAAAAAGCGAGTGCGTTAGAATAGAATTGTGTTCCGCTCTGCAACAGCTTTGCATGAAAGACGCGGAATGTCTCGCTTGAATGTTCGCAGATGGTCCGCTGCGGATTGCGGGCGCGAGCTCAATCTATGCTCAAGGTGACGGCACAAGTTCCCACTGGTAGTACGGAGCACATGTGTACGTTCTACGAAAAGGCCCTGTTCTTTCCCGAAAGCAGGAGACAATCGCTCGTGCAGCGGTGTGTAGAGCGAGAGACGTCGAGTAGTGGGTTCGCGTTTCACGCATTGGAAGGCCTCTGACGAAGAACACGGCCGTTTACTCCAAGCACTTACAAAAGACAGATTACTTGTTTTTAGGCAGTCATCAAGGGGGATCAAGGGGGATCGGTGGCCGTCAATAAAGAAAAAAAAAAAAAAAAAATCGGTGGCCGAGTGGGCTGAAGCGCACACCCAGCTCGACGCGCGTGGAGCGAAAGCTCGCGCTGCAGAACCCAGGGATCCTGGGTTCGAGCCCCACCCCTGCCCGTTTCGATCTGGATGAGCATCGTACCGGCGTGCGGTCGTGTATCACTACTGCGTGGTGCACGTTAAAGACCCCAGGCTAGCGGTTGTACCGCACTGGCTAAATTGCTCATCTACAGCTGGGAGACTCGTCGCCCATTGAGGCAGACCACGTTCTAGGCTGTATAAACATACAGACAACCCATTTTTTTTTACATGTTGCAATGCACAAAAATCGCTTGGTGTGCAGTGAGCCGCGCGCCCCTGATACAGAGACATCGATGCCGTGAACGTTGCTTCTACGGAGCTTGACGGTCAGCCTGTGCGGCTCACCTTTTGGAACACCAGTGGCCAGGCACAGTACGAACACAACGATATGTTCATCGCCCTCCAACTTTCCTGCCACACACAGTGACGTGGCCGCCGTCCAAAACGCACGCGCATTGCACAAAGCTTCGCGAGTTCTATTAAAACTTAAAAACTTTATTCCACTTTTATTTTTAAATCAGCACGTTCGCTTTTGGGCACAGTCAACAGCTCCGTTCCTTGTGTGTCTGCTCTTGCCCTGGTCACTTAGCTTTTCTAGGAAAATACATCAAACCGAGTACGCTGACCAACGTCACCGAATGCGCGCACGGAAACACCACGGGGAGGGAGGAGTCGTCGTCACCCACGTAGCTTTCCCAAGCCATCCTCCCGCGTCGCTCGCCTCTCTCTCACACCACACGTGACCATCGAATGGTACATGGTTGCGTCTACAAACCAAGTTGCACAAGGTTTACCGTGGTTCTGTTCATGATCGCGGGAAGTACAAATTCAAGGAATTCTATTTTTTTACACTCCGTTACCACCGTGCAAGTGGATACCAGCGTTCTAACAATGTACGTAACTTCGTTTAGCTTGAGAGATACGTACTGCATCGATAAAAATATAAATTGTGAATTTTGACAGCGATTATTATGTGCGCCCGTGTGACAAGTTGTATGGAGCGCTCACAGAACTTCGCAATACGTTTGAGGGTGTTCTTGGTATCCATCGCAACCAACATTGAACCACGCAGTTGAGTTTTACTATGCAGTTTTATTAATATGTATCGGGACCGACGTTAGACCAACTCAATTTGACTTAGGCCTGGCACGACTATCGAAGTCATTAGATTCGAAGCGAACGAAACTCCACTTTGATGAAGTCCAGTCACTGTTGCAACAAAGGGCCGAAATCCATCGTTTCAGCAGCTCGGTGGCTCTCGGAAATCCAAGAAAACCGCTTATAAGTTCAGGTCACTGCGAAGTTCACGACGTAATCCAACAGGGGTTGGCCGGTGAACGAAACTTCCCGCGGAAGGTTCCTGCAGCCGTTCAACAGCAGAAGACACCGGTGAAGAGGTGTGGCGGGAGCCACAGTTTTTTTTTTTTTTTAATAAACGATTTCTGATCTGAAGCCGCTGACAGTATACAAAGCCCCATCTTGGCATCGGCAACGCCACACACTTTCGTTGACTTAAGGGCGTTTTCAGATAAGATAGAACAACCATGTCCGGTGACTATTTTTAATTTTGATGAAAAAAAATATATCTTGCTGGCTCCCATGCAAAGACGAATAAAAACAATCCTTGTTTTGAAGACAAAAAGAAAAACAAGAAAGATTTGTCTTTGCGAAAACAATTTGTAAGCACCCTCCCCGTCACGTGCGCGTTTTGCGCGATGTTGGCCTTTCGGGCGGCTTCCCCCCCCAAAAAAAAAAAAAAAAAAAAAAAAAAAAAAAAAAAAAAAACCTGCTCTGGCTACGGGTCCAGAAATATTTACTGATAAATTAGGCACGGGAAGAATTGACCAAGAGTATTAATCACTGAGTATTAGGGTCGTCATTTCGAGAAACAAAATCGAAAATACGGCACATTGCGCAATAACGCTCTGGATTAAAGTTTTTTTTTTTCTCCGTATCTATAAAAGCCAAGGTCTTCGAACTTTTCCAGTGTGTTGCTCTGTATATAGTTTATCTGTGCATGAAATGTCGCTGTCCTGGTTAGCGGCAGAAATTTACAACAATTGCTCACACAGGGGCAATTAACTAAAAAAGCATTATTTTGAAAATCAGAAAAAAGAAAAGAGGCCATCTTTAATTTTATTCAAACTCTCGGATATTAACGTTTATAATGAATTATTCCATGTAAAACGTCCCAGACGTTGCCCTCGACCACCTTCAATTTCTAAAAAAAAAAAAAAAAATCATGGTTTTTTGCCGCATTTCCGTAGTCATGCCCTAAAATAATTTTGACGAAAAACTTTTCATGGCGTGAGCGCGGTTTTAACTTTTAAAAATAGCGTGAAACTAGGTATCACTCTAATTTATGAAAAATCAGCTTTTTATATGAAACAACCAACAATACTTTTTTCTTAAATCTGCACGGCTTTCAATTTGCAATGTGCTTGGGCAGTTTTGTTTAATTTAACTATTTTTTTTAAAACGCGTTGTTTTAAATTTTATCATTTTTGTTATTTTATTCAAAAATATATCTAACTGCTCCGGGGACTTAATAGAGCTTTTTACCGGCTGCCCCTGCAGGTATATAATCGATAAAAAAAAGTGTTGAAACCGCTCAATTAAATATCTCGCAGTAAAAAGAAAATCCTGAAGTTGCCAAAAAGTGCGTGTTTACACATAAACAGCCGTTTCTTTCACCCTAAGGTGGTCAAAGTAAAAATACAAAATATGGCGGGTTTGGAAGAGCAATCGATTGTCTTTTGATTCTGAAAGTTTAAGCAAAGTAATGTTTGTTTAAAGCGACAAACAATTTTTGAAGTTGAACAGTCGCACCACAACCCGGCGTCGCTTGTTAACGGCTCTTCGCCACACAGCACGCCACCGGCGACGATAGCTGACAGGATTAGGTACAAAGAAGATTCGTCGTTTGGCTTTCGAAGCGAACGGACGCGTCACTATGAGCTCCGTCGGAGCGGTATCAACGGCTGCTGATAGCCGTGGCGACAAGGACGAACGATGCAACGAACCTTATCGGATTGTCATGCCCCCGATACCGACAGGCGAGTACCTCCTGAACTCCGTTTTCCTTCATGCCGACATCGGAGCGAGACCATACAGAATTGAAGACTTCCAGGCCGGACTGGAAAACGCAGGAGTCCTCAAGGAGATAGCCGCGTGCGGGTCATTTCAGATGAACCACGTGTGGCTCGTGACGCTCAAATCTGCCGCTGCCAAAGAGAAGTTAGCAGCCGCTAAAGCTTTCGAGGTGAAAGGCAGGCGGTGCGTTATCATTGACCCGGACAGGGCAGAAGTGCGTCTCAAGCTGCACTGGATCCCGTTCTACATGCCAGACGACTGCGTGAAAAAAGCCCTGGAGCCCTACGGCAAAGTCGAAGAAGTCTCCAGAGAAACCTGGCACGTAGGTGGATTCGAGGGAGTCCAGTCAACCACGAGGACTGTGAGACTAACCCTGAAAGAGAACGTCACCGTCGAGCGCCTACCTCATCAGCTCCGCCTCTCTGGCTGCTCGGCGCTGGTTCTTGCACCAGGACGAGCGCCACTCTGCCTTCGCTGCCGCAAGACCGGACACATACGGAAGGAATGTCGCGTACCTCGCTGTGAGGGCTGCCGACGCTACGGACACACCCGCAGCGAATGTGCGAAGACGTACGCTGACGCGGCCCACGCGGCCCACGCGAAGGTGGACGACGATCTGGCGGAGCACATCATGGACCAGGACGAGGCGGAAGCGGCGGCGGGAGAAACCGGCAAAACCGACGTCGACCTCGAGCCTCGTGGTCAAACTGGAACAGCAGCGAGCACCTCAGTCCAACCCCAGAAGCCTCCGTCGAAAACGCAAGCCCCGGTGGTCGTCACTCCGACGCAAGAAGCGGAGGGCAACGAGCCCACTCGTCCCCCGCCACCCCTGAAACCCGAAGGCAAGGATGACGACCTACACCGGGTGCCACTTGACTTCGCCCAGGGCGCGGAATCCGAGAAAGGCAGCGTAGCCATGGAAGTCGTGGCTAGCACCGTCAAGCGACCGCTTCCGACTGCGGACGCACAGGACGGCGACCAATCTAAGGGACTTCAGCAGACGGTTCAGGACAGGTGGAAGGTGGTGATGACCAAGAGAGGCAGGCACCACGGGGGACCTCCGGCCCTAGCCTCGGCAACCCTCAAGACAAGCCTCGACAACACCCGCGGTGAAGCCTCCGCCAAGGAGAGCTCCGCTTTGTGAGTGAGGTTGTTTTGTTTTTTTCTTGTGTGTGTTTTTTTTTCTCTCGTCAGACAGACATCATCGCTGCACGATCTTGCCTTTCTTTGTAACTTTCGCTAAATGGCCCTCAGTTTCGCAACCCTCAATGTTCGAGGATTAAACTCGAGAAAGAAACGATATCAGCTGCAGCGCTTGTTATCTGACGCGAAGCCGGATTTTTTTGCTGTGCAGGAGACGAAAATGGAAAATGATAACGACATTGCTGTTGCGATAAAACCATTTCTTTTTCATTACGAAGTATGCGTTAGCCACGCGGTAGGTTTTTCGGCGGGATGTTTTCTTTTCTTGAAAAAGTCTGTTAACCTTTCCGATCTGCATGTGACTGTAGATGAACAGGGTCTTTTTATTTCGTGTGATTTTATTTTAGCAAATGTTCAGTGGCGGGTTATTTGCGTCTATGCCCCAAATAATGCAGCGGACAGAGAACAGTTTTTCCAGTTTCTAACCAGCTACGTAGAGTGCGACAGATCAGTTGTATTGATGGGGGATTTCAACTGCGTTTGCGATGAACGCGACAAGTCCTCTCACACCAGAATAAGTGACAATAGCGTGAACCTTTTGAAAAATATGATAGTCTCCTGTGGCCTAAATGACGTGGGCACCTCGTGTGCCCCACCGCACTGCTTGAAATACACCCATTTCCAAGCGTCCTCCCATGCCCGTCTTGACCGCATTTATTTATCCTGCGACGTGTTACAGCAAGTACATAAATATGACGTCCAACCCATTTTTTTCACAGACCACTGCCTTGTAACCGTTAAAATAGGGAAAAAGGAAAGCGCAGCCTCAAAGTTTCAATGGCACCTCTGGAAAATGAACAGAACTCTACTAAAGGATGAACAGTTTATTGGCACTGTTACCGAACTGTTGCAGCGTATGAGCGAAACGAAGGGGGAACTAAACGAGGCGTGGGAGCAATTTAAAGAGGAAGTTAAATTAGCAGCGATTGAAAGATCCAGCAACATTCAGTTCCAACACAGAGAGCGCGAAAAACATCTAAAGCGTAACCTAGATGCACTTCACAGATTAGAAAACCAAAACCCTGGAACAAGCATGGGTGATATTCGGAACATTAAAGCAGAACTAGACAAATTATACCTAGAGAAGTACAGAGGAGCTGTCATACGCTCACGGTCTGAGAAATATCTATTGGGAGAACAACCCACCAAACGGGCTTTGTCCGACGAAAAGAGGTACGCCTTGGCGAAAGAGATTCATGAGATAGATTTCAACGGAACAACCAGTAGAGACCAAAAAACAATTCAGCAATGCTTTGTCAATTATTACGCTAAGCTTTTTGGCGAAAAGCCGACTCCCAAAGGTTTCACAGAACTCGATAATTATCTGAAGCTCATGCCTCAGCTAAGCGAAAACGAGAGAATATGGCTGGAAGGGGACATCACCATAGGAGAAATTGAAAAAGCTATTGATTTGCTAGCAAAACAGAAGACACCGGGACCAGATGGTCTCTGCGCAGAATTTTATCAAACCTTTAAAACATCTGTCAGCCCTTTGCTACTTTCAATATTTCAAGAAGCATACACAAAATACAGATTACCTTGCTCATTTGCAGAAGCTTACACCATCTTTATACCGAAATCAGATGACATGATCAGAAGACGCAGTGTAACAGGCTACCGGCCTATCTCCCTATGTAACACAGATTATAAGATTTTTACCAAAGTACTCACGCGCCGTCTACAAGTTGTTATTCGCAACCTCGTCGGCGACCACCAAACTTGTGGCATGCAAGGGAGGTCCATACAAACCAACATACACGTCGCAAGGAGCATTCTGGAAACAGTAGGGAGAGGTCGCGTAGCTATGATTCAGTTGGATTTTGAAAAAGCCTATGATAAAGTGCGCCATGACGTTCTTAACCGGATTTTATCTCACGTAAATGTCGGGGAAATTATTTTGAAGGGCATCGCAATGGCTTATAACAACTGTGGGACGAGGCTGATAATAAATAATTGTTTATCAGAACGCATAGGAATACAGACATCAGTGCGGCAGGGCTGTCCTTTATCGCCGTTACTCTTTTCGCTCTACCTAGAACCTTTCTGCTTAAAAGTTGCAGCTTGCAGAAGCATCCGGGGCTTTACCATAAACGCGGTTGAAGTCAAGGTGTCAGCGTATGCTGACGATGTTGCGATTTTTTGCTGCGACAAAGAAAGCATAATGGAAACCGCGCGGATAACAAGAGAGTTCTGTGATGTCACTGGGGCCGCAGTTAATTGGGGAAAGTGTTGCGGACTCTGGCACGGGAATTGGGTCTCAAAACCTCAATCCTTTGCTGGCATAAGTTGGACGGACACACCAACCACCTATCTCGGAGTGCCATTACAGCACTACAAAAATAGCACGCCATATTGGGCCGAAGTCCTAGGAGATTTAAAATCAAAGGCAACCTCGTGGGCAAACCGTGATATATCGATGTTTACCCGTGCCACAGTGTGCAACATTTTTCTCGTCGCAAAACTTTGGTACGTGTTGCAGGTGCTTGCATGCAAGCGAACGAACATACAAAAGTTCCACCGAGTATTCGCCACTTTTGTCTGGAATTCCAGCTGGGAGAGGACGCGGCGGGATAACCTTTTCCGCCGCGTCAAAGTCGGTGGACTGGGACTCACCCACTTGTTTCTGAGACAATTGGTCTCACGTTTCGCCTTTCTTCGAGACCAGAACCATCCTTTCTTGCGAACTGTTATCCAGATAAAACTGGCGAACGCACTGCCCTCTATGCTAGTAACAAGCGACTGTGGTGAACCTTTGAGTCTTTTTGGGTTTCTGAAGGAGGTGAAAGATGCTGCCTCCTTTTTACAAGCACGATTTTCTATGGGGTACCTAGAGAGTGTAAAGAAAAAGAGATTGTCGCGAGATTTGATTGAACTGCTTTTTCCCGCGCCCCTGTATCGCACTGTTTACAGCCATTGTCCAGGGCAAAACGTATTGTGCCGCGTTAAACAAATGTGTGTCCCCCCCGCAGTCAAGTCCTTCTTCTTCAAACTACATAGCGGCACCTTACCTGTCAAGCCGTGGTTGAGGGAAAAGGGATTTTTTGTTCCCTGGTCGGTTGACTGCCTCTTGTGCAAAGTACCAGAAACAACCGAACACATTTTTATTCATTGCTGGGATGCGGTGTTTTTGTGGGATATTCTACAGAGGACGTTGAAGAAGGATCTGACTATAACACATGAAACTATCCGTTTTCTGCCAGTCAGAGAAGGAGACCCGGTTCCTTATGATTTATTTATGGTACTTGGCCTTTTTAGTTTGTGGAAAACCAGAATGGAACTGCATCATGCAAACCCACACATTAAACCTGCGCGGCTTCATTTTATTGACTTGGTTACGCAGGTACAGTCTGTATACTGCAGGTCCCCCGACACTGCGCCCGACTGGGCACACTTGTTTGAGTCGATGAAAAATATGAAAGAATTTTAGTTAGCCCACAAGTTGTTGGGCGGTTTGTGTGTGTATTGACTTAGCATTCGTATGCTGCATTCTGTGTTCAATAAAGAAAAAAAAAAAAAAGGATTAGGTACAAAGAAAGAACGGGGTTTACTGCCGCTTCCTTTTGTCCGTCTTTTCAGCTGCAAGGGAAGAAACTTTGTATTCGAGGACGCCTTCTCATACTCCGAAACGTGATGCCTAATCAACGGGCGGCATCAGCTGACGCGGACTTCTCCTAGAAGGGAAACGTGACAATATCGCCGGTGGCGTGCTGTGCGGCGAAGAGGCGTTAAGAAGCGACGCCGGGTTGTGGTGCGACAGTTCAACTTCAAAAATGCTTTGTCGTTTAAACAAACATTACTTCGCTTAAACTTTCAGAATCAAAAGACAATCGATTGTTCTTCCAAATCCACCATATATTGTATTCTTATTTGGACAACCTCAGGGTAAAACAAACGGCTGCTTATGCGTCAAAACGCACTTTTTTGCAAATTCAGGATTTTTTTTTACTTCGAAATATTTAATTGAGCGGTTTAAACATTTTTTATAGATTATATACCGGCAGGGGCAGCCGGTAGAAAGTTCTATTAAGTCTCCAGAGCAATTAGATATTTTTTTCATAAAATAGCAAAGATGACAAAAAATTAAAAAGAAAATGTTTTTAAAAAAATATTTAAAGTAAACAAAACTGCACAAGTCCAACTACATTGTAAGTTGAAAGCCGAGCAGATGTAAGAAAAAAATATTATTGGGTGTTTCATAGAAAAGCTGATATTTCATAAATAATGGAGTGATACCTAGTTTCACGCAATTTTTAAAAGTTAAAACCGCGCTCACGCCATAAAAATTTTTAGAGCGCAGCTCTTAGGGGCCCGTTTCCGGCTTGAGCGGCGTCGCCGTCGGCGTCGCCGTCGCCGTCGGCGTCGCCGTCGGCGTAACCGCGCGGTGCATCATGGGAAATGTCCCATAATGCACCGCGCGAGCCCCCCACCAAGGTCACGTGACCTCGTGGGGGGTCACGTGACCCCCCGAAGTCACGTGACTCCCCTGAGGTCACGTGGCCCCCTCCTCGAGGTCACGTGACCCCCGCCGATGTCGCGTGACCCCCCGATGACGTCATCGTCACTGATGACGTCACCGGCATCCACATCGTCATCGTCATCATCACTGATGACGTCACCGGCATCCACATCGTCATCGTCATCATCACTGATGACGTCACCGGCATCCACATCGTCATCGTCATCACCGATGACGTCACCGGCATCCGCATCGTCACTGATGACGTCACCGGCATCCACATCGTCATCGTCATCATCACTGATGACGTCACCGGCATCCACATCGTCATCGTCACTGATGACGTCACCGGCATCCGCATCGTCATCGTCATCATCACTGATGACGTCACCGGCATCCACATCGTCATCGTCATCATCACTGATGACGTCACCGGCATCCACATCGTCATCGTCATCATCACTGATGACGTCACCGGCAT